TTGTGAACTATTGACATTTTTTAAGATATAAGCTCATCCCGGTGTTACACTCATCAAGAGCTTTCATTTGAGTACCCACATGCATTTTTGATATATTTTTCATATATATATATATATATATATATATAATATATATAAATATAACGAAAAATTGATGGTGGGTACTCAAATGAAAGGTCTCGATGAGTGTAACATCGAGATGAGCTTATATCTTTAAAAATGTCAATAGTTCACAAGACACAAGGTCATTTCTTAATTATGTATCTAGAGATATAGCATTTTCGAATGCAACCTAAATACTTATCACTATAAATTGATCCTTCAAAATATTTCGAGAAAAAAATACAAGCAAGTATTTTTTTAATTTTAAAATTAAAAAATTCAAGTGAAACATTTTTTTTAACTACAAATTAATAAATAATAGTTAAAGAAAAAATTCAAATAAATTAATTTTAGGATTTTTATACCCAAAATTAAATATTAGAAGAGTTAAACATCTAAATAAAAGAAAAAAATTGAATATAAAAAAAAATTTACCATTGGGTTTAGTATCTCCAATGAGATCCATGTACTGCGTAGCATTAGCAGGTATTTGTGGAGATGGCATAAGATAGTCGTCCTCATCAAGTGGTAAATCAAGTTTAAGATTGCCCACCTGGGCTTGCTGATGGATAGTTGCTACTTCCGGTTGAAAACAGTCGTCCGTCACGTCACAATCTCTAACTCCGGAGATTATTTTCAAGGGATCCGAGCAGTATCTCGAGCTTCTATTGTCGGTGCTACCAATAATATTTCGACAATGCTGATCATTAGGGCAATTGTAGTTCCCTGAATGTTGGTGCTGATTATGATGCTGGTGATTAAGACTATGTTGATGCTGATTATGATGGCTGTTATGATGCTGATGGTGGGAATGTGGGTGTTGAAGTTGATGGTGTTGACTGTGGTATGATTGTGTGCGTTGATGACTCGCGGCGTCGTTACTTTCCGACGTGCTTTCGCTACGATCGGCTGTACCGTACCTCAACAACTCCCGGTCCCAGTTCTGCTGGTTTTGCGGTGTTGGCGAGTCCGCTGCTGCGTGCGACGGGATTCCGTTTGGCCAGCATGTTTTTATTGGCGTATTTGGTGGAGAATCGGTGATACTCGGCACTGATAGTCCTGGAGGTATCGGTGCTCTTGATTTCGGCTGCAAGTATTCGTCGGCGTCGACTAGAGCTTCTGGGCCTTCTGCTGCTGATGCCAAATTTCTGATCATTTCCTTTTCATCCTGAAAGTTATTCTGTTAATAATAAACCAATTAATTTTTATTTTATTATTATAGTATTTTATTAATTATTTAGTCACTACTTTCTAATTTATAAAATTTTTCAGTGGTAATTAGATAGAATTTTATAGTGGAATAAATTATGCTTGAATTGGAGTTTTTAATATTTATGTAATGGTAATTTTTACAATGATTCAATTTTAAATATTAAATATTAAATTATTCCAATTCGAAACTGAAAATTGAATTGCAAGATAGATTATTAATTAAAAATAATAAATTTATTAGAAATTTTACGTACATTAGTCAGTATAAAATTTAGTTGTATTTTCAATTTTTAAAAATAAAACGTGTTTTTTCAAATATCTTGTTAAAATAATGGAATGTAAAAAATTTTTTACTTTTTTTTTTTCAAGATACTGAAGGTCATAAATGCAAAAAAAATTTTAAGAAATTTTCAAAATTTGAAGTATGGGTAATAGAATACGCATTACATGTGCTGTTGAAATTTAAAATTAATTGACCATACCAGAAATGCGATAATTGTAATTAAAAATGACATTTTAGCACAGGTAGTATGGGTGGAGAGTGAAAAAAATCACAAATATTCATAATTATTGCATTGAAAGAATTTTAAGATCGTTTCAAAAAATTAATACCTATTAGAATAATATACTTAAAATAATCCAAAGAAATTTTGAAAATTTTGACCATGTAGTTTTTTATAAATTGTAAATAAACTGGCTAGTTAAATAAAAATAACCATTAGTAAAAGCGAATAAGAGCAAAGGAAAGAAATAGCACAAACTATATGTCCTGAGTGAACTACCTTAACAATTTTTTAATTTTTTTTATTAGAATTTAATAAATTAAAAAAAAAAATTTTATTGATAATTTTTCAAATTTTTACATGAAATTTTTTTTTTGTAAAATTTATTTAAATAAAAAATTCTAAAAATTGCAAGTTGTCTATTAATGTCATTATCATTTAAAAAAAAATAATATAATAACTTGAAAAAAAATTTATTAATTTTTAATTTTATAAAAATTAAATTATTAATTTACTAACTTGTGTGTCAAATTTTTAATAAGTTAATAATTTTAAGCAATACAAATTTTAGTATTCAATGTAAATAATTTAATATTTATAATTATTATAAAATTTTCTCCTTGTACTTTTATTCTCAAGTAAATTTCTTTAAAAAAATAAAAATAAATGACAAGCACAAAAACTATTTGTAAAAAAAAAAAAATGAACAAACCTGCATGCTATAAGAAGGCAGTCTCATATATTTATCCCCCTTGATAGCAAGATAGCGTCCAGGATCTCTAGACATTTTAGCAAATTCATCAGCAAGCTCCTTGAAAGTCGGCCGTGATTCAGCATCGAGCATCCAGCACTTAACCATAATCATATAGACATCAATAGAGCAAATCGCCGGTTGGGGTAATCGTTCTCCTTTCTCCAGCAACTCAGGAACATTTCTAGCCGGAACATTATCATAAGGTCGTTCTCCATAGGTCAGAATTTCCCAAATCGTGACACCGAAGGCCCAAACATCGGACTTGTGAGTAAAAACTCTGTGCTGAATGCACTCCAGCGCGAGCCATTTAATCGGCATTTTTCCCCCAGCTGCTTTGTACTGCTCTTCATTGATATCCAGCAATTTAGCCAGTCCAAAATCAGTAATCTTAATACAATTAGGAGTCTGAACCAAAACATTTCTAGCCGCGAGATCGCGGTGCACTAGCCTTCTCTCCTCCAAATACGCCATTCCCCTGGCAATCTGCGTGGACCAGTTCAGCAAGGGCTTGGAACCAATTTTGTCCTTAAAAGACCTGACAAAGTCCAGCAAGCAGCCCAAAGGCATCAGCTGAGTCACCAGCATCATCTGGGAGGTCATACACACCGCCAATAGCTGCAACAAGTTCGGATGTTCAACGCTGGCCATTATATAAGCTTCGTCCAAAAATTCCTTGGAAGTATTTGCTCCAGTATTTTCATGCAAGACCTTAATAGCGACCGGGATCTTGACATTCTCTCCTTCCGGGACCCAAACTCCCTTATAGACGTTTCCGAAGGCTCCGTATCCAAGAAGTCCGCCTTTGCGCATCTCTTCCTCCTTGATAATCCTCAGCTTAGCGAGATTCGGCTTCAAGCCCGTTGGACGAAGCGGCTCATTGTCATCCAAGCCAGCCAGCGCCATTGTCATCTTCACCGTGTTCTCCTTGTTCTTGTTCTTTATCCACCAGCGGCAGAGAACAATCACTCCGATCATCATGACTATCAATAGAACCAAGCTGACGATTCCTAGAACAACTGGCTTCATCTCGTGTTCTAATTGAGAACTTAAAGTTTGAGATTCGCAGTAAGTTTCTCGGCCATCTTCGGACGTCACCTTGTAGGAAGTTTCAGCAGGACATGTGTTGGTGCAATTGAACATTGAAGTGTTATCTGGAGCCTTGGTGTCCAAGTGTACTTTAAAACTGCGACAGCGGTAACATTGATGGGATTCCGGGCCGTAACACCCGTCACACTCCGAAGCGCAGGGAATGCAAATTTTGGGAGATGTGTTGGGTAGAATGTAGTTGCTGCTCTCCGGGCACTCGTGAACGCAGTTTTCGCCCAACTTGAAGTCCAAGCACTCGCGACATACTTGCTCGTGGGAGCCGTACCCGGTGCAATTCTTGCACAACGGATGGCAGCGCCTGCATACTGCTTTTCCAGCGAGCAATTTCAGCGGCCCTTTTTCTTGCGGGCTCACCCATTCGTAAAAGTAACCCTCTGGACAGTTGTCCAGCTTTTGGAGACAACCTTCAGGTACGCTGCTGTTGTTCATGATCGCCTTTTCGCAACTGTGACACCCGTTTGGTCCGATGTTGTTTTCCGGGCCCTCGCAACCGCCCACGCAGTTCTTATGGCAAGGCTTGCAGATACCGTTATCGTTGTACTTTGAAGTCGGACATTCTTTTACGCAAAACGGTCCGTCACGCATGTGTTTGCATTTATTGCAATTCTCGGCCTTAGGTCCGTTGCAGGTGCCATCGCACTCCTCGTGACAGTGCTTGCACTCGCGGGAATTCGCTTGGTATATTCTGTAAGAGTTAATTATATTGTTATTTAATATATCTTTTATTGTTATTGTTGTTTTTTTTATTTTCATTTGTATTGTTATTATTTATTACTAGTTTACCTGAAATCCTGTTACGTACAACAGTCAAGAAAATTTATGTTAATTTAATACAAGTGTTAGTCTTATTTTAATTAAGGAGTTATGTGCACTTAAAATTTAAAAAAAATCAATTTTTTTATTGTTTTGGTTTTATTTAAAAAATAAATTAAGACTAAGAAAATATTTTTTAAAAATATATTTGCAGTTTTTTATTCATTTCTGCGGATATTTTTTTTTACCATAATTATTTGTAAAAAAAAATCTAAAAATAGTTTAATTCAATATTACAATTAAAAAAAAAAATTTTTTTTTGTATTAAATAAATATGAAAATTCTTTTTGAAGTTTTGGCACAAAAATGGAACTTAGATAAAAAACTTTAAGCGGATTTTTATAAAAATTTTCTTTTCAAAGTCGATAAACAAAAATTTATGAAAAACGGTTTTCCAAATATTAATAATTATTCCTATAAATATTTTATATTTTTATTAAAAATTTTCATAAAAAATCAATAATTATTTTTTAAAGCCGCTATTTTTTAAAAAATATATATTCTAATAATTCTTTTGATGAATCATTAGATAATATCTTATATTCATAGAATTGTTTTTTAATTTCAAATTTCGATACACTTTTTTTTCAGAGGACCTTTTAAAGATTTTTTACAAGATCTAAAAATATAATTATTAAAGATAAATAAAGTTAATAAATAAAATTGACACTTATACCTCTTTATCTATTGTTATATTAATTAATAGAAAGATCTCTTTAGAAAAAAATTATTTTTTTCAGCCTTCTAAGTGCGTAAAACCCCTCAAAATTAAAACATCAACTTACCCGGCAACAATACTGCAGTTTTCAAGGCATTCGTTATCCAGCAAGAAGTTTTTGCACGAAAGACACTGCGATGGCCCTGGACCCCAACAACCTGCGTCTGAACACTGTTCATCGCAGACCTGGCCTTCTTTTTCTGTAAATAGACAATTCGGATAAGTTTGAGTTTAATTATAAGCAAGTAAAGGTTTAAAAGACAAGACCTCAAATAAATTGCGATATTAATCAAGAAAGGGGACAATTATTATGGAACATTCGAACGTGGACTTTGCCTTAGAAATCACGATCGTGTTTTTCATAACTGAGATTTCGAAACGTTTAGCTGTGATAACATTAATTAAATCTTGTAAAAGATATTGATTTTAAAATATCCGTTTAACGCTTTCAAATAGACAGTTTTTTTTATTATAGATTTCAATAACACGCAATAATTTCTATTAACTATTTCTCTTTATTATTTAAATTCAATGGTATGCGGGAAGAGTTTAGTATGCTAATTTATACTCGAAAAAAGGTTCGCTTCCAATAAATAATGGAAACCATTTCCTAGCAATTTATACAAGACCTTTTAATAAATAAATTAATATATCACCCAGCAAGTAACTCAATTACAAAAATACATTACAGTTTAACAAATTAAAAAATATGATTTAATAGGAAATCAAGATAAAAATTATTAAATAATTTTCAATAAGTTTAAAATAAAATTTTGGTAATTGATTAAATTATTTAGAAAAGTAATTACAAAAATGCTCTTGGTATTTTTTTTTTTTATAATAAAATAAATTTTTTTGTTAATAATTTTATTTTTATTTCAAACTTATTTAAAATCGTTCAAAATTATTTTTTTTGTTACTCTAACAAAAAAAAAATTTTTATAAGATAAAGAATTTAAAAGTATTAAAAATAATTAAAATTTTGTTTTTCCCATTCTTTTTAATTAGAGATTATTTGCTATTAAACCGTATTTTTTATTTTTCTAAACTATATTTAATTTAAAAATTTTTTATTATAATTAAAAATTAGTTTTATATTTTACTTAATTACAAAAAAAGGATAAAATTTATAGTAACTCTATAAATGGTTTCTATTCAACTTGTAAAATTATTTATTTTTTTATACTGCTGGTTCTAATCAGGATCTTGGAATAAAATAATAAAATTATCGAATTTTAAAAAGATTTTGTGCTATATAAATAGAATGATAAAAAACACTAAAAAAAAAAAATTAACTTGATTCAAGAAAAAAAATCATTTTGAAGAGCATTATTGTCTTGAAACAAAACGAAAAATTTTTGAAGAAAAAAAAAAATTTCTCAGTTCAAGATTTTTTTCTCTTGTATCAAATTAATGTTTTTTTAAGTACAATATCATCCAATAAAAGCATGAAAAAAAAAACTTACTGCACTCGGTAATATTCTTATTATTGGACACCAAACTGGCATGTTCCGAAGAGTTTTTAATCTTGTTCCAATTGATGCTCTGAGCATAGCACAAGTCTTTGTTCTCCAAAATAACAACCGAGCCGGAGTTGATCCTCTTGAGGGAGCTGAGGCCAAAAGAAACTAACGCAGTCTTGACAACATAAAGCGAGGCAAAGTATTCCGTGAGTTGTCTTCCACCGATAACCTCCAAGTTCCTGAAGTACCTCAGATCGGTAAAGTCTTTGTGATTACCCTGTATATTTAAGTAGCCAGTAATTTCCTTGAGCGTGCTGAAGACTTCGAGCTGTCGGGGATGCATAGGTTCCCACCTCGGCCCGAACGAGTAATTCGCATAAACATCCTGGAACCCGGTGAAGCTGTGGTCCATGATAGTGATGGATCCTTCAATAACTGTGCAGTCTCTGAAGCTCTCAATGTTTCCAAAATGAACTTGATCAACACCTGGGCAAGTTTTTGGACAAGGACCATCGCAAGGGACGCACTCGCCGTTTTTGGCCTTCTTTTTCGGCGGACAGGACCTGACACAGGCGCCGTTGTCCTTCAGAAGGTGCTCGGGACACTTTCTGACACAAGTCGCGCCATAAGCGTACTTTCCATTCGGGTTAATCTCCCAGGAATAGGTCGTCGGATTGTAAGTCTGCATCGGAGGACACTCTAGAGAGCAGACTCCGTCGTCCATGAAGCTTTTGCAGGCCAAGCAGTCGCTCTGCTTCGGTCCGGTGCAGCCTCCAGCACAGAAGAGATGACAGCATTCTCTCGGCTGGGAGCCAAAACAGCGCCCTTGCCAACACTGAGGCGAGCAATTGGTTTTGGAAAACTTCTGGCAATTCTCTGGACCCTCTCCCCAGCAGCCTTGGACGCAACTCGGGTCGCAGGCTGGGCAAGAACGCTCCGGGGAGGTGAAATTGTAGACGTAGACGTACTTTGACTGCGGGCCACTTATGATCTCATCCCAATTTATTGTTTTGACGTGGCAGAGGTTGTAATTGTGATACATACCAACGCTACCGTTAAGTATATCCCTCAGTGCTGGTAATTCAAGATTGTAAATTTGGGACATTGTTACAATCAGGGCGAACTCATGCGGATCGATGCTCAGCTTGAACAATGTCCGCCCACGGATTATTTGCAGACGTGGTAACACGATACGACGCACATCGCAGTGGCTTATTAGCACGTACCCGGTTACTTCCCGAATGTACTGCAGAAAGCTCAGGTCCAGGGTGTCGTTTTGCAGCCAGGTTATCTCGAGGTTTCCGTCCACGTAAGTACAGTTTGTATACCGGTCTCGGAGGTTACGGTAGTGGTGCAGTGTGTTCGACGGCGCTGAAATTCGTCCATTTGTACCAATGCATACTGAAAAGTAAATTTTTTTTTTATTAATACTGTAGTTAAGGTTTGATACAAAAAATTTAATATTTGGCTCATTTTGGAATTGACAACTTTTTATTTAAATCTTATTGTTATTATATGGATTCATTAATGTTATTCACTAAAAAAATATTTTTTAAGTATATTTGATGGAATATTGTAAAATTTTATATGAATCGTAAGAATAAAATCTTAAGACTTAATTTGACATGGTTTATTTAAACAATTTATTTATTTGATGTATGTATTTTAGATTGCCTGAAGAAGTCGGGATGTCCGACGAAACGTTGCAATAAAGTGTGAAATAATTGTCAACATTGCGTTTGTGGTCTGATCAACCTGATTTTTTTATTTAATTAATCCCTTTGGACCTGGTTTAAACAATGATGGATGTTATTCACTATTTTTAGTAGATTTCAAAGAAATCTAATTATTGCATTGGTCCTTATGACGCAACTTTTAAAAAATTTTGCTATATTCCGACTTAACTCGACGAGCTATTTTTACATTATTTATCAAATAACTTTTTAATGCGACATTGCATTGAATTTCTGTAACATGTACCTGAAATTTTTCTAAATAAGCTTTAATTTTCATATTTTATAAATGTTAAATAAAAATTATATTTAATCTCCTATCTTTTTATGAAATTTGCTGTTGCATTATGGTTTTTATTTCTCTAAATTACTGAAATTTTAAAACTTTTAATTTATTAAACGCCTTCAAACTTATTATTTTTATTGAAGTATGAAATACTTCCACTTCGGCTGCCGAACGGCTTTTTTTTACTGTTACATTGATAAAAAGGTAATATTCTAATAAATTTTTACAAAAATATACACTTATTTCAATTCTTAATCTTCAATTTAAAGTTGAAGAGATTTATTCAAATTCATGTAAATTGTTGTCAATAATTTTCTGAAATTTTGGAGAATATTGTGAAATTATTGTAATTATTCTGTTATACGGAAAAATTTTTAATTCGGAAGAAATTCCGACACTGTTTCAGGATTAAAAATATTTTTAAAGCTCGCTACACTAAATATATTTTACTTTTTAAATAACGGCTCAAATAAATTATGAAATAAAATAAAGATTTTGAAAAAGTAATTATAAAAAAATAAACTCTTTAATTAAGAAAATTATTTTGAATCAAGACGAAAATTTATTGGATTTAGTAAAAATTATTTACAATAAAAATTTTTAAATCCAAGAACTTTTTTACTCGGTTAAAAACTATGAAATTCATGATACTGAAATTAGCAGACATCGGACAATTATCCGAATTTTTATAAAGAATCAATTATTATAAAAAGAATATTTTTAAAAATTCACACTTATAATTTTTTTTAATTTCTACATCTGAAATTTTTTCGCTAAATTTTTTTCTTCACAATTGTTATAATAATCTAATAAAAAATTGTTAGATGCCTGTTAAATTTAGTATCATTGAAATTCTTCAAAATTATTTTCTTAATTTGAGAGTTATACTGTAAATAAATATCTCTTGGATTAATTTTTTTATCAATGTATAAATGTTCGTAATCAGTGATAAAAAAGTCAGTAAGGATTAAAAATTCGTCACAATTTATAGTCAATTTAAGTAAATTGATCTAAGACTATAAAAGTGAAATAAAATTTGATAACCTTATAGAGATAAAAGTCCTACATTACTTTTAAAGTGCGTTTAAGTTGCATCGGAGGCGTTAAACTGCTCAGGTGGTCGAATATATTAGGAAAATCCATGGAAAAGATGGATCTTATAAAAAAACATTAACATCTTATGTTAATCTTCTGATATAAATTCATGGAATTCTACAGAAGTACATAGAAATACAGTTAAAAGTATGATTCTAACGGAATCTTCGTGGATTCCAAAGAGGATTTTTTAAGTCATTAAATTTTTAATGCTAGATAAAAAAATAATACTGTATATGTTTTATCAGAAAAACTTTACGTAAAATTTTTCACTACATATGGAGATGTTTGTTTTGATCCTAAGAGCTTTTTAAAAATGATGAATTGATTCCAAATAAGGTTTGATCTGAGATTAAAAAACCTGCCTTAGGGCCGTTATTTGACATCAAAATCACCCAAAAAATTCGAGTTAACATATTTATCTTACCCGTTCAAGAGCACTGATTCAGTCATACAAAAACAACCATATTCCACTCACTGACTCTTATAAAAAAATAATGAGAATTCATTTGAAATCTGATGTTCTTATAATATATGTTGAATCAAAACGTTAAAACAAAGTCAAGTCAAATAAACTTCAATTTTTTCAGTCTTTGCCCTTTAAAAGAAATCTTTCGACACATATCAGTTTTAATACAACTTTACTCCAAGTCTTGATCAACTGCTTAGCAAAAAATATTAGCAGTCTCTAAGTAAATGAACTTTATCTCAACCAGTTATAAAACTAGTAATATCATAAAATCAAGTAAACAGTGCCATTAATAATGAAATATACCCTGTAACTATTCTATGAGCGTAGAGCGAATTTTTGTATTTTTAAAGTGCAGTTGAGAGAATGATTTAAAAATTTATTTAATTCAAGAAAAAAATTCATGAATAAATAAATTTTATTTTAATTAAAAATTATTTTGTAGAAAAATTTTTTTATTCATTTCTAATGAAATTTTTTAAATTTGTGTTTTTGGTTGAAGATTTTCAATTTAAAATAAAATCAATTTCTTAGCAGCATATTAAGAATATTTAAAATTTTTAAATGCATTTTTTAATTACGAATTTTATTTTAGTTGTAATTTACAAAAATCTGCCAAAATTTAGATATTAAATTTTTTTTATCAAAAAATTAACTTTTATCCAAGAGAAAAAAAATTTGAATAAAAAAAAATCATTTTGAAGAGTTTAATTATTTTTAATCAATATAAAAAATTCTCGAATCAAATAAAATTTTTTTAAAGTATAAAAAATTCTTAATTTTGCTTAATTAAAGACGATAAATTTCTTAAAAATGATTTTCTTAGAAATAAAAAAATTTTTAGTTAAATTTAAACTTAAAAGTGGTGAAAATTCAACACAAAAATTTTTGATAAAGATGCAAACTTTTTTCCAGCATTGCTTGCAGAGCTTTTTTCTTCAATCTAATTATTTCTATAGTGCAGTTACACTTAATTCCCTTCTTAATTACAATTACGTATTTGGGCTGGAATTAATAGACTCTCGCGTCAAAGTGGGTGAATTTCGAAAGGATAGACAATTAAAATGAGGATGACAAATATGCCCACTTAAGGCACTGGTAAAAACGCACTGATTGTTCCTAAGTAGACATTAACGTTGCTGGCTAAACATTGGTGTAACGAGTAACGAGTGGGCGAACCACTTTCATAAAATCTAGCTTGTATGTCTTTGGTCTTGCGTCTTACGTCTTACTTATACTTATATTACTCGCCCGCTATATCTGTATCTATCTCAAAAGCTATAAATCCGTGCACACAACCACAAACTAACAAATGTGAGTAACTATATGCATGGTGGCCTAAAGTAATGAGTACCGTTACATTTGTATACATATATATATATATATATATATATTTCAATGATATTACATTATTTAAAAAGTAAATCAAGTTTAAATGGTAACATTTTGGTTTTATTGTTTTAACGGTTTCTTGATAGGAATCCCGAGTTTGTTTTTTGCAATCCTTACTAATATTATTATTATGATTTATTAGAAAGCAATTGGGATTTTTGAGGAGACAAGATAAAAATATTGTAAAGAAAAGCGGAATTCCTTAAAGTCGTTCGGACATGATGGACGAGAAAAGAAATGGTGCAACATGGAATGCGCTTTGTTGGATAGGAGCTCCGCTTTTGCCTCCTTCCTTTTCTTATCTCCGGTTAATGCTGGACCAGAGAAAAAGAAGAAGAAGAAGAAGAAGAAGAAGAAGAAATTGAAGAAGGTGAAGAAGAAAAACAACTAAATAATACAACAAGATCCTGGTATACTTAGTGTAGAAGCATAAGTGTAAGGATAAGAAGAAACTATAGGTTGGTTCGCCTGCGGTCATCTATCTTTCGTTTCACCTTCGTCCTCGCATCGGTCGGTACCCCCTCTTGTGTCTTTCACCTCTTGTACTCTACCTTAGTAGTGGATCTCACCTCGAGCTCGGTAAATACCAGGGTATACAGACAGATATTTACACACATATATATATAAAAGATTTAGATATGGAAGGTATGAAGGTGTAGTGCACGAATCCTACCGAGTAACAAAACTTTTACCCTCAGGTGTGATATTAATTCTCATATACATAAACTTACACTAAAACAAGGATCTTCTTCAGTTGCACGATATGTTCATGTTTCCCGCGAAGATATACTCGCGTGGAATTTATAATTTAAATAATATAATGTTAGCGAAACATCGAATTTTAAGTTATCATTATGTACAAGTATTTGGAATTTTATGTAAAAGTTAAAAATAATTTTTCATTTTTGAGAAATAATTAATTCTGTTGTTGCTCTCAGAGGTGAAGCACTTATATTACAGACAACGGTATATTTACTCAACCTGAGACTGAGAGTTGAGTCAGAAAATATTGTTTTGTTTCTTTTACTTTCAGTAAAAAACACATTTTACGCAGTAAATGCTATTTGTGGTTTTTTTTTAATAATTAATGAACGTCAATGTACTCTCAATGTTTGACTTATATTGTGATGATAATTTTAGGATTGGCTTTGACGGACTAGGACTTACTTTTCCCTTTGACGAACTCGGAACTGAGATCGCCGAGGACATTATTGCTACCTACGATAACAGCAATTATTATTGTTAAGGCGCAAACTTGAAATCTCGACAGCGCCCATGGTGTGGAGTGTCGATGGTGGCACATATTGAGCCTCACATGCCCTTAAAAAAAGTCCCGTGCTTGTCTCCCTTTAAGAGACTTACTCTACCCGTCATTAAGTTTTTTTTTTGGGATAATAAGTCTGGGGAAGGTGAGGCCATCTTCAGATCATCTTTGTAGCCATCTGCAACAAATAATTCGGTGGTTAATTTATGGGAAATAGTTTGTTTTAGGTAAATTATTTTAATTATGGGGGATTTTTTAAGGAAACCTTGAAGTGTTTTTTTTTCTTTTTTGAAAGAAAATTAATAATATTTAAAAATGTAAAAAATAAAAATTTAATGGCTTAATTTTCATATCTTAACCATAGTTGAAAAACATTAAAAATATATGTACGAAAATAGAGAAAAATACGTAAAAATTGATTTTAAATAATGTTATATTTTTTATAAAATTTTAAATATGTTTTTAATTTGTTCATTTATTTTTTTTTAAATTTTACATATAAATTTATTTTTATTATAAATTATTTTCATGATGAATTATTTAAAATAAATTTGAGTTTAATCAATTGAAATTTTTTTACTTAATATTCAAAAATATCAACTTGAAAAATATTAAAAAAATTGATATTTAAAATATACTGTATATTTTTTTAAACTTTTAAGTGCCTGTTTTACAAAATTCCGCGTTTTTAACCCAAAAAACGTCATTTTCAAGTATACTCATGATTCTTGTACTATTTACCGCCATCCCTCTAAATTTGAGTTGAAAATTTGTTTAAAAAATAATACAAAATTTCCATAAAACTTTCTAAGAAATTGAAAAAATCGAAAAGATTTTGTATACAATATATGAAGCTAATCGATAATTGATTAGAAAAATATTGTTTCAATAAATTGTATTAAAAACTAGAAATCAATATAAAGATATTCAACCGAGGTGAAGCATAGTCTTGTTCTTCACACTTAAGGTATGAAAAAAAGGTGTAATTGTTTAAAACCGGCAGTGAATTGGCGTAATGATTAATGGTGAATGGTAAATGATAAATGATAAATTACTAGATTGACGTTGGAATAAGTATATATTTAACTGCACATTAAATTAAACATATTATATATAATATAATATACAAAGAGAAAGTGCATATGTGGACGAGGTACAAGATTTTGTTACTTTCATGTCGCCTGGATTTACCTATAGTCTGCAGTTTCTGTAGCACTAGCTTTTCACTTATCTTATAACTTATCACCTGCAAGGGGAACTTTAGATCCATCCTAACACCATCTCAAGTTTATACACCAAGATACTGTCAAGACTCGATAACTAAAAGTCGCTCAACTTTTTCAGTCATTTTTATTTTATTTATCTCAACAGTTTATTTTTATTTACTCATCGTTTGCTAATAAATAAAATCAATAAAAAAAAATTAAAGGGGTTTATTTTTGGTTAAATTTATAAATATTGATTTGGTAAGCGTAATCGAAGATAAAACTTAAGTTTTATTTCTTTCGCTCCATCTAAGTCCTGGCGGTGGTCAATACTACGCAAAGCAAGAGATGATGTCACCATTGTAGGAATTTATTTATATAAATTATCATTATTTTTATTTTCATTTTCTATTGCATATTGTATCCTCGTTGATTATTCCTCTGAGTTATTATGTATGTACACTCATTAACACGGTTATTTGTGTAATTATTTTTAATAAGTATCTATAGGCACGTTCTGTGTATTGTATGGTACGGGTTCAGCATTTATATTTATATATTTTTATTTTCATTTAGTGTCAGTTACATTTACGTTCACTTTGCTGATGAGGTTTGCATGTATAAGGTATCTGGTGAGGTTCTATATAGCGCGACTACTTTTTATCAATTTGATGTGACATCAGTAGCGTGAAATACATGATATAGATATTTTTACCTTACTTTTTTATTATTATTATTATTGATTAGTATATGTGTTATTTATATTTACATTTGTCGAATGATTATATAAACTGATAAATGTTTTTTTTTTCTGATTATCATTGATAAGTTTTTCATTTTAGTTATTATTATTATTATTATTAAAGGAATAAAAAAAATTTTATGTCCAGGATAGACATGATAAAATCAATTTTTTTTTAGAAAAATTTAGTGTCATTGCAAAGTTCTTGACTTGAATTTGTGCCTTTTCAATGTTTGATATAATTCTAATCGATAATCAATTTATTATGATTATTTAGGCTGCATTCAAAAATGCATTATCTTTAGATACATAATTAAGAAATGACCTTGTATTTCGTGAACTATTGACATTTATAATGATATAAGCTCATCCCGACATTACCCTCATCGAGACCTTTCATTTGAGTACCCACACCAATTTTTCATACATTTATATATATTATATATATGTATGTATGAAAAATATATCAAAATGCATGTGGGTATTCAAATGAAAGCTCTTGATGAGTGTAATATCGGGATGAGTTTATATCTTAAAAAATATCAATAACTACGAAATGACTATGTATCTTGTGAATTATTGATACTTTTAAAGATATAAGCTCATCCTGATGTTACACTCATCGAGACTTTTCATTTGAGTACCCACATCTATTTTTCATATATTTCATATATTTATATATATTATATATATGTATATATGAAAAATATATCAGAAATTCATGTGGGTACTCAAATGAAAGCTCTTGATGAGTGTAACATCGGGATGAGCTTATATCTTTATAAATGTCAATAGTTAAAAAAATACAGCGCAATTTAACAAAAGTCATTATTTAATAAATCAAAATTTTATTTAGTTATAGTTCGCAATTCTTGGCAGTCACATAGTGACTGCAGGTTGCTAGTTTTTATTATTATTATTATTATTATTATTATTATTATTATTATTATTATAAGTACTACTAAAGTAAAATGTAATGAAAAATGAGATGATACATTTATGTATGTTTACGTAAATTTAAGAAAAATATATAAAACATAAAAACTGGAAGAAAGATAAAAAAGAGCAGAAATAAAGATAAAATAAAAATAAAGGATTGCGGAGCTTCAGAAACTAAACGTTTAGGCACGAAGATCCTAGTGTAAGATATCGTGGTTGGGTCCAGAATCCAGTTCCAGACGTGCTCTTCTACTCAGCTCGACGTATGGTATATAATCTCTCTCCACTACACCACCTTCCTAACATCACGAGAACAAGTAAAGAACAAAGAGCACGTATAGCGTACAGAACAGAATACAGCTAAGAAACGAGAACCGAGAACTTAAGAGTTCCTTCACGCCGATATATAACTTTACCTCCATTTTCTTATCCTTCTTCTTCTTCTTATTATCATTTCTCTTCTGCACATTATATTATTATGCCGCCATATAACTACACCACGTTTAAACCCCAAGCTAGCCCGGAGCGCCAGAAATTCAGCGAAAATAAAAATTAAGTAACAACAATAACAACAACAGTGTTTAACCCCGCAGCAATAACACCAGCTATTATGTTATCTAATTTTTTTAAACTTCACTCTCAGAATGAGAAATTTTAACACTCTTTACTCTTTTTATTTTACAAATTAAAGCAGACATTGGAATTCATAAAAACTTGAAATTAATTTCTTAGTCCTTAATTTCACCAATTTTTAATTAAAATAAATAATTTATGCCATGAATTTAAAAGTTTAAAACAACAAACTGTAAAAATTAAAATTTGACTTTTTTATTTCTTTAAAATAATTATTTTAAAACTAAGACATTTCAATTAGTGTATTTTAAAATCATGCAGCTGTCAAATTAATAAAACAACTTTACAATTTATTAGCTAACCATTAAAAAAAAATCCTAAAAATTAATTGTCGGCATCTTCAGTAAAATAACTTTATAATTTTAAAGAATAAAATCGCTCCCCGCAAATAAAAGATACAGGCAAGTAATATAAAATGCATTCTCCGTAGATTGACATTTGACATGAATAGTTAATGGCACAAGTCAACGTTCATAACCCGGCGATAAGACCTAGCTTGCATTTAATGCAACATAATATCCTACAGCAAACAGCAAACCCACCATAACAACCACGTGCAATTGTAGCCGCTCGATTTTGCCTTCAGGTTAACCTCATTCCTGACGCTGACGTCAGGGCCTTTCCCTCGTACCTGGACTCCGGGACTGAAGCAAACAGCAAGACTCTGAGGATAGAGGACCTTTCAGCATCTCGAGCCTCAAACTCATCTTGTATTTTACATTTAACATCGACAATTATCCACTTCTATTAATGCCAACTTGCACGACATTACTTCTGCTCTTCACTCTTCACTTCTCAGGCAATTAACAGCCTCAGACTATTCATCCGAGGTTCATTAGCAAGTCAACCCGTTTTCTTCACCAAAAACCGCTTCAAAATAATAATAACCGAAAAAAATCCGCTTCAAAAGTTTAACGACCGAAATTGTAAAGGTCCTTTGAAAGCTGGCTTGATTCTTCCAATTTGCGGCAAAAGCAGCGCAACTGCAGCAGATGTCACGTGCTAAAGTCTGCATAGAAGCCAGGGAGGACAATCATAAAAATAAGGTCTCTGCATGAAGAAGAGGAACAATAAGAAGAAGATGATCCGAAAAAGCCAAATAGATGGATGTTTTTCGAAAGGGACAGTTGCCGCCAACGCATGCCGTTCGTTTCTTATCCCGTCGTTCAAGTCTCCGTGCCTACTAACCGTCTTGTAAACATGGATCTTCGAGTGTTCGACAGAGACAGATACACTCTAACACACGTCTATCATATGTCTTCTTTCTCTTTTCACAGAGGCTGGGCAAAGAGTCTACTCAAGACGTCTTCTGATAAATTCCGTGCTTGCGTAATAACTAATAAATAACCGAGAAACCTCACCAGTAATTTCATTATTTGTAATGAGTATAGAATCGGAGATATATACAACATACATTAACGTCACCGTTAACATTAACATTAACGTTTGCTTAATGCAATAAGTGTTGTTTCATCGGAACATTCAACTTTTCTTGGAGTTGATAGGAAAGAGGCCGCGCA